TTTATCCTGTGGTGCAGCAATTGCCCCCTAGGTATTTATACAAGTTTAATGCAAACGTATGTCCACAAAAATATTTATAGAGCAGACTGTTCATAACAGCCCCAAGTGTAAACAGCCCAGGAGCCCCACAGGTGATGGACAAACACCCTGCAGTGGGCACCACTCAGAGATAACCAGGAGCGGACGGACCGGCCGTGTGCCTGGACACACCGCGAGCCTACAGCACGGCTGCTGAGAGAAGTCTGCGCAGGAGGATGCTGTTGCAGCTCCACTCATGCGGAGTTTCAGTCATAGGACCAATCTGTGGTGGGAAGGGACACAAGAATGATGTTGCCTGTGTGAGCTGAGGATTGGCTGGGAAAGGGAATGAGACCTTTGTGGACCTACTTTTTTTTTCTTTAATGTATCTGGTACAGGGTTTCACTATGCAGCTCGGACTCCTAGTGATCCCCCTGTTTCCAGCCTCTCCAGCACTGAGATTACAGCCTCTTGTTACCATGTCCAGAATCAGTGGTGGGCTCAGCATGCCCGGGGATGTGGCCGGCATGGCATGTGGTGCAGGGATTGAATCCCGGTCCTTGCACTTGCCTAAACAGGCACTTGGTCCGCTGAGATATCTCACTGGCCCAGAACCTTTTGGGAGAGACGGGAATGTCTTGTGTTGTTATAAGAGTTTGAGCTGCTCCTGTGTAGACATTTATCAAAACCCACCAGACAGTGCCCTTGTTATTTGTAAATATTACTTAAAAAATGAAGAGGAGCCCTAAGCAAATACTGTTTCCGATGAATGAGAGGCATGCTGAAGGGATTGGGGGGAAAGATGTAAGTGTCCAGTACTTTGCCTGAAGTGCATTCAAAAGTCAGACAGATTGACAGACAGATAGAGGGATAGATGTGTGGATGGGTGGAGGGGTAGAGGAAGGGATGGATGGGTGGACAGAGGGACAGACAGACAGAGGGATGGGTGTACTGAGGGATGGGTGGATGGATTAATGGAGGGAGGGATAGAGGGATGGTGGAGGGAGGAATGAGTGGGTGGATTGAGAGGTGGACAGGTGGGGGAGGGAGGAATGGGTTGATGAATAGATGCATGGAAGCAAGAGGGATGGATGGAAGGAAAGGATGGGTGGATGTGACGGATGGATGGGTGGATGGATGGATGGATGGATGGATGGATGGATGGATGGATAGATGGATGGATGGGTGGGTGGGTGGAGGGATAAATGGATGGATGGATAGGTGCATGGATGGATGGGTGGGTAGGTGGAGGGATAGATGGATGGATGGATGGATGGATGGATGGATGGATGGATGGGTGGATGGATGGGTGGATGGATGAGTGGTGGATGGATAGGTGGGTGGATGGGTGGATGGATGAGTGATGGATGGATAGGTGGGTGGATGGGTGGATGGATGAGTGATGGATGGATAGGTGGGTGGATGGGTGGATGGAGTGAGAGATAGATGGGTGGGTGAGTGGATGAACAGGCTGTGATACTGGCAGAAAGTTAGTGGTAGAATCCAAATGGCAAGTATATAGCAAAATTCTCTTGCCTCTGGAACTTTTCACAATGGACTGTTAGAGGGAACAAGTTAGGAAAGCCACCTCACTAGGTTGACACGAGGACCAGAGGGTAAAGTTAGCGCAATGGCCAATCGGGAGAAGCTGCCTGCCCCTGAGAACCATCACAGGTAAAGGTGGCACGTGGCAAGTACAGGGGGCACGTGAAGCATGACCCCACGGTGCGTTTCCGTCCTCTTAAGTGGGCCTGTAGGCACCTGTCACTCACCCCAGCATTCTGGGAGGCTGAGACAGGAGGATTGCAAGTTTGATCCCCACCTGGGCAATAGGGTTCAGCATCCACAGATTCAGTCAAGGATGGGCCAAGAATTCTCAAGGAGAGAAACTGCATCCGTACTGAGCATGTAAGGATTTGTCCTTGTCATTATCCCCCTGAACAGTACGGTAAACAGCTACTCACGTAGCCTTTTCATTGTACTGGGTATTCTAAGTAATGTAGGCATCCTTTAAAGTGCATGTGCCTCGGTTATGGGCTCACAATGCACCATAAGGAACTTGACCATCGTGGATTTAGGTATGAGGCATTGTTTTCTTTTTTCTTTTTTTTTTTTTTTTTTCTGTCTGTTTTTACAGTACTGGGAATTGGACCCAGGGGCACTCTTACCACTGAGCTGGATCCCCAAACCTTTTTCTTAAACTTTTATTTTCTGAGACAGGTTTTTGCTAAGTTGTACTTGCACTGTCCTGCCTCAGCTCTCATGTAGCTGGGATTCTAGCTGTGCGCCACCACTCCTGGTTTGTGTTTTTTAGTTTTTGTCACACTAACATGCCATATACTCTTCTAACCACATGACGCGCTTTTGTTTTGTTTTACTTACCATATCCTGGTGATCCTCCACATTAATATCTGTAATCTGTGTTTTTGTGCTTTTATAGGATTGCATAATATTCCACTAGGTGGATTAAAGCATCATGCACTTGCTAGATGCCATGTTGACAACTTGTGGGCTACTTCTGTTGTTCCCTAGCCCTTCTGAACACTGCCATTGTCTTAAAGACTGGAACAGAGCCTCCCATCTCTCAATAAATGAGTTGGAAAGGAGGGGTTTTCCCTGGTCAAAACCCACAGCGCATCATTAAATCCTCGGGCTTCCACACTCCAGCTTTTATTAAATTATCCCAATTTGTCCTTTCAAATAGATGTCTTTTCTTAAGTAGTGATTTACCACAATTAAGCCCCCCAAAATTAAATTAAATGAATTACATCTCGCAGGTTGGGTGTCTGCAGGAACCAGGGTTGGCACAGTAATGGTCCAGATGCTATTAAAAGCCAAGACAGGGGAATGTGCGCTGGGTTAGAAGGGAAAATTCATAGCTCCGCTGATACGCCATGATAAATAATTATGAGTTATTAATTTTAAATTACATCTTTAATGCGTTGCATGATTTTAATTCCCCCTACAGTATTAATATCGGACTGGCTTTGATTAATTTAGAGCAGAACAGAAAGGTGCCAATTAAGGGGGCTGGTTGAGAACTTTGAGGTGTTTATATCTATCTCAGGGTAACCCACAGCGGGGGGCAAGGTCACCTCGAGGGAAGCGGAAGGATCCACAGGAACCCAGGGTGGGCTGCGGAGTCAGTGAGAGAGGGGGACGGATGTTAACTCTTTCTGCATCTCCGAGTATCAGAGAGGAGAGAGAAGAATGGGAGGGAAGGGCGGGCAAGACAGCTCAGCAGAGTAAGCGCCTGCTTGGCAAGTACAGGGACCGGGGTTTGATCCGCGTTCCCGCATGCATGCTGAGTCAGCGAATGAGTCCAGGCATGGTGACACTCGCCTGTAATCCCAGCGCTGGGGAGGCTGAAAACAGGAGGATCACTACAAGTCCAGGCTGCTCAATGAGAACCTGTACCAAATACATAAAAATGAAAAAAAGCAAGAAAGAAAGAGAGGGAGGGAGGGAGGGAGGGAGGCAGGCTCAAGCCGAGCCCCCAGCCCTGATGTGGGCCGGGACCAGAGCACCCCAAACCCTCACGGAGATTGCAAGCCTGACTCCTGGGACCCGGCATCGATCACAGCCCTCTCACATCGCTCTGGACTTCAAGGCTTGGAAAGGGGGAACCCTTGACCCTTGGTCAGTAGGGAACAGTGACTCAAAGACAGGTGCAGGAGACCATAACTGGCACCACTTCTGCCTGGAGAGTGGTGCCCGTAGGCACAATCTGGGGGATCCCAGACACATTTTATTTTACATGAGAGCTAAGTGGACTCTTTTCTTTTCTTTCTTCTTCTTCTTTTTTTTTTTTTAAGTTTATTTATTTATTTATTTATTTTGTATGTGTGTGGCCAGCTCAGCCCACCAGGGGGGCGGGGCTGGCTGGCATGTGGTGCTGGGGATTGAACTGCAGTCCTTGTGCTTTGCTTGGCTTGTTCCTAGTAGGTGCTTTAGACCACTGAGCCATCTCACCAGCCCCTTTTTTCTTCTTTTTGAGACACAGTTTCTCTATGTAGTCCAGGCTGGCCTTAAACTCACTATGTAGCCGAGACTGGTCTTGAACTTGTGGTGATCCTCCTGCCTCAGCCTCCCAAGTACTGGGACTACAGGCTTGCACTACCGTGTGTGTGGCAGGTATGTACTTTAATGTATACAGAAAAGAAATATAGAACCCATCCGTTGTTTCTTTTCTTTTCTTTTCTTTTTTTGAGACAGTGTCTCGCTGTGCAGCCCAGGCTGGCCTCAAGCTCACTGCAACTCTCCTGCCTCAGCCTCCTGGGTGCTGGGATTACAGACATGCACCACTCGCCCCAGTGGCTAAATCCCATCCACGGCTCCATCCGTGGCACCCGTGACCTCACGTATGTAATTGCTGAATCGTGGGCTCTACCGAAGTTGGAAAAAGATAAGGAATTCACAACTAAATGCTGTGACTGCACAGGGCTGTGGGAGAGAGAACCACGATGGCCGCCTTGCTGGTGACTCGCAGGTGACTGAGGGAGCGACTGTCACATGAGCGTCACCACAGCCACCCGCGACAGAAACCCCTAGGCTTGGAGGAGGAAAGAGCTTGATCAACAGGAAGCCGCCGAGCCTGGGCTCCCTGGGCCTGGTCGGAGATGCCGCTCGCTGCTCGCTGTTAGAGCAGGCGCGCGGGCCTCGCTGAGGAGCGCTTCACAATTTTTATTTAACAGCTCGGGGTTTAATCTGGACCAGGTCATCTGGACTCTGCTTTTATGGATAGCACTGCTTAGGTTAAAACTGATTTCCAGGTATTTTTTTTTTTTTAATGATGCTAAATAAAGCATAGGTGAGTGCTCATCGCCACGCAAATTCGGGTGGTGATGTACGAGTAGTTGAGGGATGCCAAATTAATGTCGCCACGGTGACAGAAGACAGAGCTCCTGGCCGAGGCTCTAAATTAATGACCCTAGTTGAGAATGAGCATAAAAAGAAGTCTCCGCAAGCCGCGGTGTGAATCTTCACTTCTTCCCTCCTGTGACAGATGAGCCTCAGTGGTGGGGTGCGTGCTCCCCTTCAGTACATTCGAGGCTTAAAATAACTCTACTGCACCTCGAGCAGCGCCTGGCCTGTGACCACAGGAGTGGGAGAAACAAGCGGGAAGGTGTGGAACGGGGAAAACAAGACAGGAAGGGAAGAAGGGTGCGGTCGGAGAGCGCAATCTGGCCTGGCGATGCCCGGCTGAGTGAGGTTGCAAGCCCGAAAAGTAGGCATGCTCCTGGGTCCTGGTCCACGATGGGAAACCGAAGCAGTGGTGCCTGCGCAAGCTGACCACACCAGGCCCCAGAGTTGGACTTGGGAAGGCATTGATCAGAGGGTGGAAGGCAGGAGCAACGCCAGCTCCGAGCTCCTTCCTTAGAGGCGTTGAGGCTGCTTAGGGTTCGCAGGGTGGCGAGACCTCCCGACAGCCATGACACGGGCTGTGAGCAGCCCTGGCCCTGGGCTGGGTCCTGGCTGACTGCTGCAGCTCAACAACTCCTGCTACCTCTCACAGCGTCCTGGAAACACAGCCATGATCCCGGGGAAGGGAACCAAGGAACTGTGAGGCAGAGGAGCAGCCAGGCAGCCCAGCCAGCTACACAGCCAAATGCGGGCTCCAACCCCAGCAGATGCATTCCCATCTTCGCTAGCCTGTGTCTACTCAGTGAGTCAGGGAACAGTGAGGAGGCCCCTGTCTTCCCGCCATGTCCGAAGACAAAAGGGCAAGGCCTGGGGATGATGCAGACAGAGGCTGGTGGGCGCTTGGCATGGGAGGCACAGTGCTGATTTGTGAGCTATGCCAGGAAGGGGGGGAGGGAGGGAGGGGATAGGAGGAAGAAGGAAGGAAGGAGGGAGGGAGGGACGGAGGGAGGGAGGGAGGGGAGGACAGGGAGGGCGGAGATGGAGGCATGCGACTACAAACAAGTCAGTCATTTCAAAATGAGTGTCCTCGGTTTTCCCCACGTTCGTACCTCCTGGGCCAATCTCAGGCTGAGAGGAGACCTGTGCTTCTCCAGCCCAGGCAGACCCGATCACAGGATAAAGGGAGAGGTCCCTGCAGCCCAGAGCTGGGAGCTGGGCTGCCACGTGGCCGACTCTCAGCTCTGTGGGATTTCAGCCGGCCGTGGCTCACCCTGGTCTCAGCCTGCAATCTGTCACATGCCAATAACTGTTGTGCTTTGGATCAAGAATGCCCCCCCAAGTCCCACATATTCAGAGGTGATCACGAGGGTGCTAGACTAGTCCATGGTGCATCCATAGATTAGGGTGCCATTTGGAGGTGGGGGGAAGGAGGTCGCAGGGGGTGACCTTCACGGGTGCATTCCCGACTCCAGCCCCTTCCTGTGTCGGGCTCTTTCCTCTTCTGTCTCCCACTGCCATAGGTGGACCATTCTCCTCCACCAGGCCCTTCTGCCAGGAAGCTCCATCTTGAAGCCAGCCCACCATGAACTGCACCTCTGAAACCCTGAGCCAAAATGAGCGTGTCCTCCTCGAGCGTGTCAGGCATGGGTCTTACTAGTGGAAAGGTGGCCAACGCAGTCACCCTAGGAGCCCCCACCCTGTAGGGACAGTGTTGAGGACATGAGGCGGGGCTGGCGGAGGACTCAGCACAGCACCTAGGCTGTGAGTACTCACTGGGCAGCAACTGCTCTTGGTACCGATCGGCCTCGCAGGCACAGCCAGGACCACGGAGGTAACATGGATAAGAACTGCTGGGAAACATGGCAGAGTTCTGCAGAATGACTGATTGAATTTGGATTTGAAGGAATGGTCCCCAAAGTCCAAGTGAAAAGGGCACATGTGTGGGTAGAAGGGGAGATCCTGGGGGTCAGGTGTCCTAGAGAACAGATACTATGGAGTAAACTGAAAGATGAAGCTCTGCATCTCAGTCACCCTCCAAACACATGGGGCCACTTGAGGTCCACACCGTAACACCTCCGGCAGGGGCAGTGCACCACCTGTGGATCAGCTACGGAGGGTCACAGTAACGCTACGTAACAAACAGCCCCTCTACCTCCACAGCAGTGACCAGCAGCTGGGCGGCTCCTCTGCACAGCTCAGGTTGAGATGCCATATGTGATGGAGCGCCACTCCCCATGCCGCTCCTCCTCTCGCAGCTCACATGTCCTTGTGGCTGTGGTAAAGGGCCACATCCACGCAATCCAGTTGTCACATCATTATCAGTCCGTTCCCTTGGCTAAAGCCAGTCACACCACCAAGCCAGAGTGACAGTGGCTGAGGACTACAAAATCACCGCCTAGTGAAGGGACCACCAGTGAGGGGCACCTCCGTGGTCCAGCATGCCAGAGCCTGACAGCCCAACTCTCGGCTACTGGCAGGGTCTCTCTTACATGTGCCCAGAGAGTTCTATGATTTTAAGATGCTTGTGTCTCAGTTACGCCCAGCGCAATCCTCACTGGCCTTTGGAAGTTGGCCCCAGCCGGGAGGCGCAGTCCTGTTGCTTGGGATCAGCCTCCTGCCCCGTGCACTGGCCGTGAGCACATAGCTCCCCTCCTGAGCGCGGCTTCCTGGTCTGGGACACAGGATTGGTGGCAGGTCCCATGCAGAGGTGACGGGAGCCCTAACTAGCACAGTGCACACAGCCGGGTGGCAGCAGCGGGACCTGCTAAATGCACTCATTGTCATTTTCATCACTGTTGCTGGTGTTGATGCGTGAGGACAGTGTCCTCCCTGGGCTTCCAGGCATCTGGGATTCCCCGCAGGAGCAGGCTTCCCTTCCCAGTCTGCGCCCCCGGAGCAGCTGACCATCTGCTGGGGGATTTCTGATTAACAAGCTCGCGTAATCTGCGCTGTGATCACAGCCCCGCTCTGTCCTCTGGGGCCGCAGCCTCTTCGGCTAAGCCTCTGCTGGAGCCATGAATATCTGAGCACCTGACCCTGTCGCATTTCAATGTCCCCAAAGCCCTGGGTCCCCGACCTCAGCCTGCTACGCTGAGAGCATGCTTACTCCCTCTAGATCCCCATGTCCCCAGCACCAGCAGTGTTTGCTCATCCGAGCTGTCACACAACTCACATATATGGAAGGCTGCACTGGAAGGCAGGTCCAGCCTGAGACATTGTCACATCACACTCCTGCTTCCAGGTCTCTGAGACTTTTCTCGGCCCCTGGGGATAAAGGGTCCAGACAACTATTAAGCCCAGGTGTGGTCAGATGATCGGCCCTTTGCAGGATTTGCTCAAGAGTTTTAGGGGTCCTTGGGTTATTTCCCTAGAAGCCAAGTTGAGGATTGTTATGCACATGAAGAAGAGAGGACAGAGGGTGGGACTTCTCATTACACGACCAGGACATAGGACAGGGCAGGTGGGGCAGCCTGGTCCCAGTCAGACCCCACTAATGCTTTGCAGCTCAGATTGTGCTGCACATCTGCCCCTTTGAGGGGCAGTGGAGGTGGGCATGGAACCCGGGGCCTCAGTACAGAGCCTCGGTACAAATAAACAGCCCCAGCCCTTTTTCAGCTTTCCAACAGGGCCTCACTAAGTTGCTAAGGTACCCAGGCTGGGCTTGAGCTTCCAATGCCCCTGCTGCAGCCTCCCAGAGAGCTGGGCTTGCAGGCGCCTGTGCTGCTTGGACACCAGGGAACGAGGCTGTTGTGCAGACACAGCAGGACATCGGCAGTCGGCCCCAGGGGCTTGGGGAAGGCAGAGCCGAGCAGGGCAGGCGTGGTCAGCCTGCAAGAAAGGCTCCAGTGTGCATTTAGTCATGGCACTTGCAACCCCCAGCCAGTCACGCATGAGCGCGGGGAAAGCCACAGGAGTGAGGCCACCACCCGTGATGGTGCCCCGCTGCCCTGGCAGCATGGATCCAGCCCTAGGCAGTCGCCTTCGCAGTGATGGTGACTGAGCCAGAGACCGGGACTTTCAAGCACAGCCTCGGCATCCACTGAAACCAGTTTCTCCTGGGCTCCTTCTGTCCTCCTCTGTCCTGCTGTGTGCTGGTGAGAAGGTCACTCTGCCTCTCTGAGCTTCGCCTTCTCTATGAAAAATGAGGGCAAGACCTGTCTCAGGGGCCTGTGCCTGGGCCATGCCTCATTCTGACCTAATACAGTAGTTATTTACCAAGGGCAGAGAAAGGTTTTGGATCTAGAACTCCTCGAATCCTAGCTCTTAATAAATAGCAGCCACCGGACCTTGAAAGACCCTAGAAAGCCTCAGGGTCTCAGTTGTCCCACTCATAAATGGGCCAGTAGCCTTCCTATAGAATGGGGCAGCAAGGGCAGCTCACTGGTCTATGCGGCCTTTGTAGATGAGACACAAAGGCCCCAAGCACTTGCTTTAGGAAAAGGGACCCCCATACTCATACGCTGGTGGCCCCTTTTGAAGGAATGAAGACCAGGGAAAAAAAATTATATTAACCTAATATGGTGGTGGACATCCATACTAGCACTTAGGGAGGCTGAGGCAGGAGGATCGCAAGTTCAAGCCCAGTATGGGCAATTTAGCAAAAGCCTATCTCAAAAAAACCCAACAACAGACAAACAAAAGAAGGACTGGAGATGTAGCTCTGTGCAAAAGCCCTGGGCTTGGTTCTTAGTATTTAAAAAAGGTTCCCATGACCCCACTAACCCTCACCCTATGCCTCACAGCCAACCCACAGGATCCTCCTCCAGTGAGCAGGTAGATACAGGCAGCCCAGCCAGTTCTGGACACTGGTCTCAGCCAGGTGCCGAAGGGCCCAGGGAGGCCACAGGGAGCAATTTTGCGCTGAACAGAGGTTGTCATGGAGACAAGGACAGGTAGGGAGGAGTTTGGGGAGTCAGGGGCCTGGGCCCGGCACCCCATGGTCAGAGCACACTCTGTCCCCTGAGAACGGGCCGTCTGCTTGGCCCTAGGCCCTGGTAGACAACACAGACTCCTGGAGAGTGTGGGGAGCCTTGGGGCTCGGAAGCCACCAGCCTCCCTGCCACAGAATCTGCTCGAGCAGCACGGGCTCAGGGCGGGGCCCCTGTGCAGCCCCTGGGGGCACACATGCTGCCTGGCTTTGCTGTGGGTCTCGCTGGTCAGTGGCGGATGTGTTGGTGGTGCAGAGAAGGCGTCCTGGTCTACAGCCACACCACCCTGAACGCACCCGATCTCATCTGATCTAGGAAGCTAAGCAGGGTCGGGCCTGGTTAGGACTTGGATGGGAGAGAAGGGGCCCTGGCTGCCACCACCACCCCCCAGGCTCCAGCCGAGACTACACCACACCATTGCTCAGCTCCTCTCCCTGTCCTGGCCTGTGCCCCCTGCCTTTATGGTTGGTCCTCCCTTCCTTCCTTCCTTCCTTTCTTCCTTCCTTCCTTCCTTCCTTCCTCCCTCCCTCCCTTCGTTCCTCCCTTCTTTCTTTCCTTCCTTCCTTCCTTCCTTCCTTCCTTCCTTCCTTCCTTCATTTTTGCAGGATTAAACCCAGGGGCTTTGCCCTGAGCTACATTCCCATGCCTGGGTCTTGCTAAGTCTCTAAATTACCCAGGCTGCCTTGACCTGGAGATCCTCCTGCCTCAGCCTCCCAGAGTGCTGGGACTGCACACCTATACCATCACACCTGGCTCCCTTGAGAGCTCCTTCCACACTCCCCAAGCCAGACATGGATGTCCCACAGCTGAGTCAGCTGCCCCTGGGCCTCCACCCAGGCCCTCCTCAGCATGGCTCCACCTCACCTAAGATGTGTGACAAACTCCTTTTGCAGATGAAAGGGAGTCACACCCCAGTCACCCCAGTCATGGGTGTTGTGCAGGTCTCTCTGAGGCCTCTATGGGAGCCATTAAAACCAGTTCCCCACCCGAGGAGCATAAACGGCAGGTTCAGGGCTGCAGGGAGCCCGGCTCACAGGGCCTCTCTCTGCCAGTACACACAACCTGCCCTTGGGGACAAGTCAGCACACAGGCAGGGAGGCGAGAGACCTGGGAGAGGAGCCCAGGCTAGGCGAGGGGTGGCGGGGCCTCCTGAGGACGTCCTCACCTCCCACGCTGGGCCAGGGCCGCAGGTGGCTGAGCTTCAAGCCGTGCCCACCGCACCCTCCGTTAAGCAGCACTCAGCGTTCCAGCGATAATGAGGGACACTGAGCCCTGTTTGTCCCTAGCTCGGGCCACCAAGACGCCCAGCTGAGCCAAAGACTTGGGCCAAGGCTGACGCCCCCGGATGTGTGCCCAGGCAGCTGGCTGTAAAGGTCCTGGCCCGAAAGCGAGGCTCCCTGTGGGCCTCGGCTCCCACGCAAGGGCGCAGGGACCTGAAGAAGCAAAGGCCGAGCTGTCTGTGCCTGCCTGTCAATCACAGCTCTGCGCCTGAGGACCTGGGGGCGGGACAAAGGAGGGGGGCCTGCTCACAGCTGCAGCCTCCTACCTCTTGGCCAGTCGTCCAGCCAAGGCCTCCAGCTCACTGCCTCAGTTACTTGAGCACCTACTGTGTGCCGGCCATCCTGGGAAAGTTTAATGGGAGGGTGGCGCTCAGGGACCCAAAACAAGTGAACAGCTGCTGCATGGGACAGCTGACAACAGAATTAACCCAGGCCAGCAATTAATTAACTCTGGGAACCAAGGAGATAGGGAAGATAAGGCTCTGAAAGGGACAGACGTGAAGACCTCGCCCAAGTGGGATGCAGCCAAGCCACAGTGGGCGAGGCACCGAGACTGCAGAGCTGAGGTGCTGGGGGTGACAGGCTTGGGGACCTGAAAATAAGCGCACATAGCTGATAACTGCCCCTACCCCATGTCGCACAGGACCAGGGAGCACCAGGATTGGTGTCAATCAGTGTCGAATACAGGCATGAGTTCCAGGGGCACCCTGGGGGGGGACCCAGCCCAACTGAGTGGTCAAGATCCAGGCTAAGGAGGTCGCTCAAGGCCAAGAGGGCAGAGGCTGGGCCCTGGAGAGGAGCCAGGGAGGCGGCCCCTGCCTGCTTGCATCTTCCGTGGCTCCCCACTGCTCTCCCTCAAGTCCACAGCAGAGACTGGCAGACTCATTCCCAGGCTCGGCCAGGCACGCTTTCCCCACGCTCTACCCAAGCACCAGCCTGTTTCACCTTCCTGCTGCCTGGGACTCTCTCTTGGCCCAGCCCCTCAGGAGGTCTTCCTCACCCTGCCCTCAGATTGGGGTTCATCTGCCACTGGCATGGAGCCAGGCACATTGTGTACAGAACATGGAGTTAGGGGCCGACTCCCCAGTCTGGTGAATGAATATGTCTCCCCCAAAATGTCCACACTAGGGTCATGGGGACGGGAACTCCTGAGACTAAGAACTGGCCAACTGCAAGCAGCAACCCAGCGCTGCCCTTCTATTCCCATGATGCACTGTGACAAAGACCTTAAAGCCACACATCCTGAGGCATGGACGGTCTGGACGGTCCAGGCATTTAGGAGGAAGTTTGTCCATGTGTTCTGAAGTCAAAGGGCCCCAGTCCTCAAGGGTAAGCTTCACTGACTGAGACGGGGATCGGGACAGCGGCACAGGCAGGGGCTGCAGGAAGAGCCCAGGAGGGTGTGGGGACAGGAGCTGAGCACGGTGCCCAGTGCCCGGGACTTAGGAGACCCTTAGTGTGCAACGAGGTGATTCCAGGCCAACTGAGGGACCCCTGCCTATTAGAGAGAAGGGGACCCGATGGGGATACAGCAGGGACACCAAGGTCCTGGGGCTGCGGGACAGCAAGGGGAGGGTCAGCCGCTCACCTCCTCGAGCCCCTGAAAGCCTGTGCAGGGCAGGGACCCAGGCTCCTGTTGGTCTGCTGAGTACAGTCTCACATACACACAATCACACCCACAGGCACTGGGCTACCTCGCTGTGAACACACACACACACACACACACACACACACACAACCATCTTGTGTCTCCCTTGTCAGCCAACACGATGACACTAGGAATGTACTAAATGCCACTGAACTGTCCTCTTCACCTCGATTAAAAAAGTAATGCCCTGCCCCCCCCCAGCTCCCCCAAACCCACTGCCAAGCATGGAGGGCAGAGCCCCAGGGGAGGTGGGGACACCCTTCTGCAGGGCATCTCTGGCCACACTCATCATTCGTTCTGCTCTCGACTGGCTGGGCGTCTAGGAAGTCTCTGGTTCTCAGACTCTGCTGACTGCAGATGCACAGCTCAAACCCTCTTCAATACTAAAAAGCAGGGAGCACTGAGTGACTGTGTTGCTGAAAAGGTCAGACGCCTCTGCACACAGCATTCAGGCTCTGATGCCAGACACGAGCCTCTCTCTAGCCAGCTCTCCTCCTCATTGACTTCTTTCTCAGCCTGACTGCTCAACAGGGGACTTAGAAACTCTTGGCCTGTGTTGCGTTTTGTATCTTTAAGGTCCATTCAAACTTTGGCAATTCTAACAAAGTTCAGAGGCTGCTTCTCATTGGCCTGCCTCAGGTCATGTGATCACCCCTGAACCAATCAGTGAGGTAGGATGGAATGCTCTGGTTGGCCAGAATTGGATGGCCTGACCAATCACAGAGCTCAGGAAGGATAGGCTTACCCATTCAAAACCCTGGGCTTGAGGGTGTGGGAGAAGGAACAGTCCCTAAAGGAGTGAAAGATGCAGATTCTGGGAGGCTGAGGCAGGAGGATTCCAAGTTCTGCCCACCCTGGGTAACTTAGGGAGAACTTATCTCAATTTTTGGGGGTTTTTTTTTTCAGAACCAGGGATTGAACTCAGGCCCTTGCCCTTGCCAGGGAAGTGCTTATTCTACTGAGCCATCACCCCGACCCCTGTCTCAATTTAAAAAGAAGAAAAAAGAAAAGAAAGAAAGAAAAAGATTGGGGATGTAGCTCACTACAGAAGCTGTGGTTTCAATCCCTAGCACGTGTACACACACACACACACACACACACACACGCACGCACACACATTTTACTGTCCAAATTGAAAAGAAAAAAAAAACGAGAGAAAACAGTTGAAAGTAGTTTTTAAAATATGTATTCTTCAAGCTACTATATCTAAAATATTGTTTCAACATGTTTTGCTTTTTGTCTTTTGAAAACAGGGCTTCACTATGCAGTTCAGCCTAGCCTTGAACTCACTATGTAGCCCAGGCTGACCTTGAACTCACAGCAATCTTCCTGCCTCAGCCTCCCAAGTGCTGGGATTATTTCTGTGTGCCAGCACACCCAGCCCAACATGTGATCTTTTAAAAAATATATTAATGACACTTGCTACCTTTTTTTGGGGGGGCAGAGTCTCACCACAGCTCAGGCTGGCCTCAAACTCACTATGTAGCCCAGGCTGGCCTTGAACTCACAGCGATCCCCTTGAGTGTGCATGGCCCTGAGCAGTCTCCCAGCTGTGCACGGGAGGGAGGGAGGCCCCTTCCACCACGCCACCCCCACTTGCTTGTATTTAACGCCTCGCTCTGTTTGCCGCAAGCATGGGTGCTGCGTGCTTATTTGTTTAGCGACAGAAGGCGGCCTCGCAGGAGAGGCGCCCCCCCTTCCCTCCCCGGCCCCCTCCGACGCGCACACAGCCGCCT